AGAGATTGAAAGAAGGGAGAGAGTGGAGGTAGAGGTACCTGTTCTATGTATCTTTTCTTTGTTTCTTTCTCACGCACGCACACACACACTCTGGATCTGCGATTCTGCAACTGCAAATTCACGCGATGCCCTTTGGCGAGTGGAGTTCCTTTTTTTCTATGATTTAGGGTTTGTGGAAATCCTCTCTCCTTCTCGCCCCGTCTTCTTACCTACGCCACTGCAGCGCGTGATTTTTATTTTCTTTTCTTACATTTTTTTACCCAATCGATGCACCAAAAAACAAAAAGAAAAAGGTGTCTAAATAAATATCTAAAATATTGTATTCTAATATTTAAAGCGTATAATTTGTAATTTGTACAATGACTAGTGATAACGTATTTACTTGAGGTTAAATTTTGATGTTACATCACGTGCAAAAATTACACTACCCATTCAAAAGATTGAGAATTTGGAATACCTTGGTCAAATATCTATTTTTTCAATCTCAATCCAGGCGCTGATTTTGTAATCTTGTAATATTTAGAAGTTTACAATAAGCCCAACACGTGACAATATTAGATATTCTTGAAAACTTGTAGTTAAGGTGTAAATATTTGACTCTATAAATAATATAATCATCTAGGAAAAAAATACAGATAAATAACGACATACCCAGTAGTATTCCACGTCGTGGGATCTGGGGAAGGTAGTGTATACGCAGACCTTACCCTACCTTGTGAGAATAGAGAAACTGTTTTCAATAAAATAAAACCTCGGCTAAAAAAAACAGGTAAAGTGTCAATTAATTATAGTTATATGTTAAATGTTAAGTAAAAAAGACATCACAAGTACGTCCTCATTTGCAATTTTACACATTATCAAATATATTTTTTTAATTATCGAGGGACGTGATGAGACGAATGAAATCCTTAATCAATAATTTCTGGTTCGAACTCCAATTCTTACACATGGATCTGCTCTCAAGTAGCTTCTAGGTAGGACCACTGATGGAAAATTAATTATAGTTCTATCATATTCTATATATCACGAGTTGAAGAGAAGAAACCTCTAGTGTTTGCTTGTTTCGTCCCTCCAGAAACCTTGAAGTTTGTGGTGGCAAAATAGATAAAAGAAATAGGTATTCATCCATATTATCCATTAAAAGATGGGTTGAACAATATTTCTTTTAAACAGATTAAATATGGATAAAAATTATATTTCTACTTAGAAAATGGATAATCAATGGATAACTGATGGGTTTGGCTTTTGCATTTGTAAAACCTCAAATTGGAGGTTCCTTAAGTTTGGGATACTAGGAATTCACCCAAAAGTGATTAGATTCAAGAAGCCATGAATAATATGGATATTCATACTATCCGCCAGCTAACCCATTTTTTTATCCTTATTAAATATGGGGCGGGTTAGATAATTTATCCGTTTTTGCGTTATCCTTTTTGACCCGTCACAATATCCAACCCGAATCGTCCATTTGCCACCCCTACTTGCAGGAGTCCGAAACCAAAATGTGATTCTTTTGGACTCAAAGAACCAAAATGTGTGTAAAAAAACGAGGCACCATCATATATATAACGCCCTAGCATACCACACTATACCTTAATGGTCGTTTGTCCGTTAAGGTATAGCGCGGTGTAATACCACGCTATTTTTCAAATAAAAATGGGCGGGAAGGTATAGCGCGCATATATACCTCGCTATAGTATAGCGTGGTATATATGCACGCTATACCTAAATAAAAAGGCTTGCAAGTCTCTTTCCCCACCAAACCAGTGAACTTACCCCTCCCCCTACCCCCCCCCCCCCCAACTTAAAAAACTCTAACCAGCAGTCCCCCCCACCCCCACCCATTTTTAACCAAAAAAAAACTCGATTGGAGCCCATCGGTCCTACAAAAAGTGTAGATTCTCGATCCCACATCCTAGCTAATGTGTTATCTCGTAGTGGGTTGCTCGTTTCGGCTCCAAATCACCAAATCTTCAAATTTCCAAAAAAATAAAATCGAGGTATTCCGACTTAGTTTTTGTTAAAACTCATGCATAAAAAATCCCTTAGTTATTTTTCACTGTGCTCTATGTTATTTCGTGATTGTTTTGCGATTTAATTAATTTGTTATTTTTTAATTATATTATTAGTGTGCTAAAAAGATTAGTAAAATAGAGAAATTATTATTAGTTGTTAAAAAAATATTAAGTAATCACTTTTTACTGTGGTATATGATTTTTCGTGATTGTGTTGTCATTAAATTAATTTGTTATTTTTATCCGCCTTAGATTATTTATTTGGTAAAAGACTAATAAAATAGATAAGTTGTTATTTACGGAATAATTAATCGTATTTAGATGTCATTGTTGTACATATATGAATATGTGACTTTAGTTCCTTATAGCGGTATCTTGTGCCTTAATGTAGTGCTCGTATTTATAATGTAATGTCCTTTTAGCGTAGTAAAATGTAGTGCCCTTTTACCGTAGTATCTTTGTAGTTATTGCAATTAATCATTTAATTATCTGTTAAACCCAAAAATATCATAAAAAAGTTGATAGTTCAAACACAAACTCTCTCTAATTTTAGTCAACAAACGCAAGAAAATAACATGAAAAAACAACAATATTTGTCAAACTAAGTATTGTTATATGAATATTTAATAATTAAATTTCATAGTTATTTATTTAGTTTTATTATAGTAAAAAATAGGTGAGTAACAAACTAACATATAAATAATAAATTAACATAACAGATCTGTTGAGTGATAAATTGGGGAAATTTTCTCATCATGAACACAAGAACATTGGATACCTTGGTGCTACTGGCCTTAAATATCGAGTCCGGAACCAAAATATAGTTTATTTGGACTCAAACTAAGTATTGTTACATGAATATTTAATAATTATCATGTATAGTTATGACAATTATTTATTTATTTTATTATAGTCAAAAATAGGTGAGTAACAAATAAACTTATAAATAATAGACTAACATATAACATATAAAATTATAATATAGAAAATGTATCAACCTAATTAAAAATATAGTAAAATATCGGATAAATTTTAATGTTAAAGATATTACATATATTTAAAGATGTTAAGCAATGAAAAAGAAAAATACTTTAATATTGTTCAATTTACAGTAGTCGTCATGGAGGTTCCGCCTGTGCATCCCGGACCTGCCTCGCTAGAGCTACTGTTGCTACAGGCCGAGCATAGGTCTTCGTACATATGGGAGGGGCAGTTATTGGGCCAACGTTCCGTGCTAGAGCAGTAGACGATATGTGGGACTTTCTTAGGGCCCACTATCTCCATCCCCGTATAGTCAGACGCCTACAGGATACGGGTTTCTATAGGATTATTGAGATCGGACGGTTGCAGTTGGATTGGTTGTTGATTACGGTTTTGATAGAGCGGTGGCGACCGGTGACGCTCACATTTTATTTACGCATTGCCGAGGCTACTATCACGCTTTAGGACGTGGAGATTCTGTATGGGCTGCCGGTTGATGGTCTTCCTATAGCTTTACCATATGTTATCAGAGATTATACGGGATTGTAGTACCTAGAGAAGTTGCAGCGGCTCACCGGTTCCAGTCAGCGGAGAAGGCTGCATTGGTTGGGGCCAGTCGTCTGCAGTTGACGGCCTTCCGGCTACATTTGGAGACGATGCATGCGGACATTACGGATGATACACCGGATCTTCATATTAACCGGAACACGAGATTGTTGATGTTGCTTGTGTTTGGAGGGATATTGTTCCCGAACACTTCGGGAAACCTAGTCAGCTTGAGATTTCTTCATCATCTTGAACGGCTAGATGATTTACCTAGTTACAGCTGGGGTGCAGCTGTTCTTGGTTACTTGTACATCTAGATGTGCCAAGCTAGCATGGGGACCCAGCGCGACATTGCCGGATTTTTGCCGCTGCTGCAAGTGAAAACATAGTCAATTATTTTCATGATTATAACATACATAGTAAAAATACACCTTAAATTTTACGTCCACGTTGTATATTAGGTTTGGGCTTGGGAGCGGTTCCTGCAGTTGCAGCCACCTCTACCACACATCGCTCTGGGTGCACCACCTCTACCGTTTCTCCCTTTAGCTAGGAGGTGGGTTGATAGGCGAGGCTACGAACGCGAGTTCGAGGCTCGACATAATCTCCCCTATTGCAGGGATTTGTTGGATTTGTTGGATGGCGCACAGGTAAATGTATACTTAAGTTTACTTGGCCTAGCTTTATATGTGTTGCTTATACTCACGATTCCTGTTTTTACTTAATAGTTCATTTGGAGGCCATACAGCGACGAGCTAATAGCTGGTTTGCCCGATTATTGCTTGACCGCCGACTTATGTGGAGCTCTTCCATCCCGTTGATGTGTCTTGATATTGTTGAGCATCATGCCACCGAGCGAGTCATTCGCCAGTTTGGTCGACCGCAGCTTGTACCTACTCCGCCTGCTTGGCATAGGACACATTACCGGCGGGATGATCGTTCCAGGGTTGACCAGACATATGTGGCCTGGCTAGAGGCGTAGATTGAGATTTGGGACCGTTGATTTGACCTGATTCTGCCACCCCCTCCACCTTAGCGTATGGATGGTGAGCATGAGTATATGGGTTGGTACTACAGCATTGCCCGACTTTTCGTCGGGAATCCCGTTCATCGCGCTGGCGGTCGGTACGTCCCATATGCCGGGAGGCATGAGGCACTGGTATGTTATTTGGTATACTTACTTATAACGTTAACCTAGCCTTCCGTAATTAATATTTTACATGTTGTGCAGGCTATTGGCCTACATCTGTTCCACCAGTTAGGACTGCATATGCAGCAACATACCGCGAGGTAGCGGTCGCTTTGCACGAGTATGGCAGATAGGTTACAGATCTGGCTACCCGGACATTGACGCGAGCCCGAGATGATAAGCACTTAGGATACGAGGCTGATTATGTGCCGCCAAAGCAATACCATCGTGGGCCAGCACTGG